TTCAGTCATTTTGCTATAATTTGCCATAGTCCTGAGTGAATTAGGTACAGGTAGTCGTCTCCTGAAGAGGTTTTACTATGAGCTATTTAAGAGAGAAGATCGGTTATGTTTAAATATCTCCCTAGCAGCATTTGATTATTGGACTGTACAGACTCAAGCTCTACATTTTATCAGACTTTATTCTGTTCTTTCAGGGAGTTGTGGCAATAAACTTCCTCTAGTGACTCTCAACCTGGGTGTCGTTTTGAAATTTCGTTATTTTTAGGCCTTGCTGTTCTTATACAAGGGCTTCTTCCAAAGAAAAGAGTGTGGTGGTGATGATTTGGGTGTAGTTTTTTAGATCGAGAGAATCACTTAATCGGTAAAACTGTGTTATAATTTTAAACATAGGATGATTTACTAATTTTACTCTCTTCCTTACCTGAATCTAGACCTTGGTTCAAAGTACCGTAGTCAATTTTGATGTAACTCCAGCTTCNAGGTACAGGTAGTCGTCTCCTGAAGAGGTTTTACTATGAGCTCTTTAAGAGAGAAGATCGGTTATGTTTAAATATCTCCCTAGCAGCATTTGATTATTGGACTGTACAGACTCAAGCTCTGCATTTTATCAGACTTCATTCTGGTCTTTGAAGGAGTTGTGGCAATAAACTTCCTCTAGTGACCCTCAACCTGAGTGTCGTTTTAAAATTTCGTTATTTTAAGGCCTTGCCTTTCTTATACAAGGGCTTCTTCCAAAGAAAAGAGTGTGGTGGTGATGATTTGGGTGTAGTTTTTTAGGTCGAGAGAATCACTTGATCGGTAAAACTGTGTTATAATTTTAAACATAGGATGATTTACTAATTTTGCTCTCTTCCTTACCTGAATCTAGACCTTGGTTCAAAGTACCGTAGTCAATTTTGATGTAACTCCAGCTTCTGACGAGAGACACTTGTATCGTGATATTTTTGGATTCTCCAAACGAAATTTCGTGAATTGTTTTCTTGGAGGACGGGAGCCATCCACTAAGAGCAAAGACCTCTGCTCCATTTCCGTCGAAAATTTTGAGATATTCGCTGCGGAACAAAATAAAATATGTT